TAGCCTCCCTGAGCTACCTGACTTTTCTTTTTCCAAAAGAAATTTTTAGATATTGAAGTCACATAATTAATAATAATAATAATAATAATAATAATAATAAAGAAAAAAATATTGAAGTCACTGTAGGTACTGCAGGAGAGAAATGTGCTGTTCAAAGAGTTAAGTAAGTAGATCAGATCACAAATACAGCGAAAGTATGAACCCAAATTATAATAGGATTTTATTAGACAGAATGTTTTTCTTGTCGTTAATTAACCTAATTAGTTGTCATTTAATATTCGTACTACTTTACGGGACACGGAACTGTAGCTAGGTACCTGGAGATCATGTATAGTGGACAAATGAGGGTAATTAGCCCTTTCATCTCAAACAGTACCTCTCATATGACTCACACTTTAAAGTGTTATCAGAGCAGGATTTCAAAGCAAGACTTCGCCGTGGGGGAAGCTTACCTCACTGTAGCCTGTAAGTAAAGATTTGCCTGAGGTTTCTTTGTGTGGCCTTTGAATGAAAGAAGCTGGCCTCAAGAGAGGAGTGAGTTTGCCTCTATTTTGCCTCCACTGTCCATTAGGGAGAAGCTGTTTGAGACTGTCTGCCCTGTCCAGAGCACCTCCTTTCCATTCACACACTTCCCGCTAACTGCACCATTGTTGTCTCCATGTTTATTTAGTTGTAGTTCTATAAGAAGTTTGTACCCATTACTGGAGTTGTTAGAGTAGGCTGTCACCAGTCCTCAATATGTCACGTAAGCATACTAATAGAGAAAAGCTGAAAAATTAGAATTATTTAGATTGGTCACACCTGAGAAGAGAAACAAAGGCGTTCACAGACCTCCCCATTCTGCTCCAAGTCTATCTTCCAGGTCCTGAAACCTTCCAGGCTTAGGTTTAAGTATGCATGACTAAGCCGTCCTGGTCTAGTGTGGTCATCCAGTCATACCTGTCGGTGACTTACCACTGTCTGTCCTGCAAGGAATTCTCTTTTTCCACAGAGGAAATTTTCTGTATAACTGCCCTGGCTGTCCTGGAACTTGTTTTATAAACCAGGATGGTCTTGAACTCACAGAGATCTACCTGTCTCTGCTTCCCAAGTGCTGGGATTAAAGACATGTGCCACCACCACCCAGCTACCTGCAAGGTGTTCTGACAATTTAGCAAAACTATGTGCATCCCTTTTCTGAGAAAAGGCTCCACTGTGGCTAGCACTGAGCTCCAGCCTTTTTCCTTCTGCATGAGATTCCAGGGGAAATTCCAATTCAGGGAGGGGGAGTGGGGTGGAGACGTTGTTTCAACAGTCTGATAGACAAAGGCAGGGACACCAGTGTCTCTTTAGATTATTTTCATTCCTTCCAAGATGGTTTGAAACCTCCTGGGAGGACTGGGCTGAGATATTTCTTTCCAAACACTAAGATTATTGCTTAGTAGGAAGATGGCATTTCTCCCCCCACCCCCACCCCTGCTCAAAAGCCACTCAGGAAGGTTGTTTTGATTCCCCGGACAGACTATAAAACCTAAACAAATGAGTGAATGAACACTATACTGTCACTGTTCTGAGAAAAAACAGTAGGTTGAGTGTGAGTGGAAACTCTTGAATCTGCTCTTTGTCCCAAATGATCAGGTGGCCAAAGACAAGGACAGACCTAAGCCGAATGACTAAGCACAAGATGTTCACCCAAGTGACTATAAAACCCAAACTGTAAGGATTCATGTCTACACATTGGTTTGTTTCTTTGCTCTTTGATCCCTGCCCACCTTTCCAGAACCTTCCCGGGGTTCTTCTCACTCTGCTTTCCACCTAAGAGAAACACACCTAGATGCAGCCTTCGGCTCTACTGACTGCATTCCTTCAGAATCTAAATCTCTAAAATCCCTAAAATCTCCTAACAGTTAGATAGAAATCGGGCCCTGGTAGGCACTCTTCTCTGAAACTTGCCTTTTGTGACTGTGAAGTACAGAAACAAAGCCTTTTATGTTAAAGCACAGGGAAAGCGTAAATCGCAGCTTCCCATTTGACTCTTTTAGTCAGCTCCAGCTTTCTAGGACTTCAGCAGGCTTCCATTGGAGGTTTCAGTCCTGGCTGGAGCTGCCTTTAAAGGTGGTTGAGGGAATCCCTCCCAGACTAATTTGTAAGTGAATGAAACTGGCCAGGATTTAGGGCTGTGCCTCTAAAGGGTTCTGGAGACAGCTGAAAACCTGGGAGAAACGTTCTAACAGAGAAGCCCCTGAGGACTCCAGCCTTTATAGCCCCACCCTCAGGAGCCTCCCTGGGGCCTGGGGCAGCTGCTGGAGTGCAACCACCCTTTTTTCTGGTGAGTTGGAGGCCATCATGAAGCGGCTGTTTCTGTTCCTCCTTGAAGTGTAGCAGGATTTGGGGTCCCCTTCCTTATCACACTCCGCTCCCATTTTCTTCTCCCTCTAGTTTTCAGCAATCTCATTCCCTTTGGGCCCCTTTTTTGGACATATTTTTTCAAGGCCCCAAGGTTGTCCGGGTAATCATGTTTCTCTGAAAAAAATCTAGTTCGAATGAGATCTTAGAGGAGTAAAGGGGTCCAGGATGTCATTCCCTGGGGCACTGTATCACCTATTTTCCAGGGATTGTACAGTTCAGGAACCTAGTGGTCGATTAGGCAATTACAGCTGTAGCAGAAAGCCCCAGAAGGACAGCCATTCTGCAGGAACTATCAAGTACTACTTTTATCCGTGCAGCTAGAATGTAAGAGCCAACACTTAGCCCTCCTTTCTTTCCCATGGTGATGCCTGCATCATTGGCCACAGCTGTGAATACTGAGGGGCAGGCAGTTTTGTGTGCCAGGGAGCAGGGAGCCTGGAGAAGCTGAAGGGGTGCAGGGTATGTGGGGGTGTGTGTGGGTGGGGACGATGTTTATGGTCCCGCAGATGTCATAGAGTTGTCTCACCATCATCAAATAGCAGGAGAGTCCTCAGGGTGTGGCCAGGAGACTCCCCTTCTCCATGCTAGCTTGGGTTTCCCATGTACCTTTGCAGAGGAGGAGCTTGGCACATGTATGTATGCCTCAGCCAAAACAACTTTCTCTTGGCAGAAGACTCTTCAGACATATTGTTGAGTCCAAGAACAAGGATGGATGAGACTGCAGGACTCGGCAGTTGAGCACCAAGGGTTCTAAGGGGTGGGAGCTTTCATGGCTTTTGCCTTCTGTGTAATTGCGAGCTAAAAACCAACCATACTGGGTCTCTTAAGCTATTATACCAAAGAGGACTACTCAAATTGTATCTTCAGCTTCTAAAATATGATTTTAACAGAAAACAAAAGTGTGACTGTGAGTTTACATGATAAAGTTTTTCCTAAGTGATTTGCAGAAGTGAAAATATGTGCTCATATTTGCGTGGTCCTGCACCCATTTCTGTGGAGGCCAGAGGTCTACTGCCTTCCTTAATTTCTTTCCTATTTTTATTTGTTTTGTTTTTTTTTTTGTTTGTTTGTTTGTTTTGTTTTTTTTCAAGACAGGGTTTCTTTGTGTAGCCTTGCCGTCTTGGACTTGCTTTGTAGACCAGAGTGGCTTGAATTCACAGTGATCCTCCTGCCTCTGCTTCCCTGAGTGCTGTGGTTACAGGTGTGTGCCACTCCGCCTGGCTGTTCCACCTTATTTTTTGAGACAAGGCTTGCTACTGAATCTGGAGCACACTGACTTGGGAATAGCTAGCCCCCAAGTTCCAGCAATCCTCCTGTCTTCTGCTTCTTGGGAATACAGGCACACTGTGGTGGTTGCCTTATACATGGGTGCCAGGGGCAGAGCTCAGGTTCTCAGGCCTCAGCAGCAAGCACTTTGTGAACAGAGCTATTACCCCAGCTCCCATTTTATCTGTGTACTTACTGAGCGGTCACTTTGTCATCTTCCGCATTGCACCACATCAACTTCTGATATTTGTTTCCCAAAACTCCAAGATACAAGATGGGAGATTCAGAGAGAATGGTAGCCTGCAAGGAACTTTGCTGAAAGTCCAAGTTTCTCTTCATTCTGTGGCCAAGGGCTACATTGTTTTTGGGCATCGTTCTCATGCCTTGTCCTTTTTTTTTCTGCTGGGCCTTAGACGCTGAGCTAAGATGATGCAAAATTTTTCAAGTATTGTGCCACTGGCAGGCCACTAAAGTAAGATGTTATCTCAGTGGAAAGTAGAATTGAGCTTCTGGCCTTGCATTCTAACACATTGCTCACTGCTGCTCTTATTTTAAGTGTGGAAAATGTTCCTGGTACCTCTTGAGGATGTATGGAGATTTATAGGAGGCTGGCTTGTTTTACCTTCTCTTCTAATAAAAATGGCAAGATTTGTTTGTATTGCTTTTTTTTTTTTTGTCTATTTAAGACAGGATTTCTCTGTGGAACCTTGGCTTTCCTAGAACTCTCTCTATAGACCACACTGCCCTGGAACTCACAGAGATCCACCTGTGCTGCCTACTGAGTTCTGGGATTAAATTAAAGGCATTACTGCCCACCTTTTTCACTGCCTTTTTTTTTTTTTTTTTTTTTTAAATCACACTGATTCCTAGGGACAAAATAATTACTCAGCTTCTCAAGTCACAGACCCATTGCCCCTTTCACTATTAATTTCTTTGAATTTGGCCTTCAACACCTGCCTTCTATTTTCTTTAGTGATGGGCTGGAGTTGCCCAAAAGTTTGAGGTGCAGAGCATACAACTGCCATTGGAGCACTCAGCAGGCCAAGGAGTTGGAATCTCTACTTAGTCTCAAGAAAGTCTCCAAAATGGAAAATGTACAGCAAGTTGATCAGTGATTATTTGAACTAAAAATATTCCAGGCTCTTTTATAATGTGAACCCCACCTTTAGATGAACCCCAGTGTGCTGGGTACCCTGGTTTCCGATTGTTTGTATTCATTAATCTTTGAGGCATGTGTCCCAGGTAATGAGGAAACAGAAACATAGGCAGCTGAGCGGTTTTCCTAGGTCTTGGTGAAATAGCCTCAAGCTCTCTACTGACAGCTGCTTGTGTTCCTTCCCGTACAGGTATGAACGCTGCTGTTCGTGCTGTGGTGCGCATGGGAATATATGTGAGGGCCAAAGTGTACTTCATCAAAGAGGTCAGTGCTTGCTTCCTATTTGTGCTTTCTCTAGTGGAGGAATGTGTGCTGCCCACTGGCTCAGAGCCCTGGGCTCACAGGTCTCTCTCCTGCTGCCTCCCCTGGCTGAGCACCCTGAAGTGAGGTGGTGGTGGTAGTGATGGTGGTGAGATAAGATGGCACAAAAGTCACGCTGGTATCAACTTCCTGGTCTTGATAACTGGGTCAATTATCCTGAAGGTGTTAACTGTGCAAGCTGATTTCAAAGACTAGTAAGAGGGTAGACAGCCTTTTTGAGCTTTCCGTCATTAATGTAAAGCTGACCACACCTTGGTGCCTGCTCATGTCTTGGCTTCACAATGAATAATCTGGCTGAAATGGAATTTTATTAGTATGTAAATAAAAATGATGTCATGAGTTTGCTTGGAAGAGGATATGACTGGGACTCATTATGTTAAGTGAAATAAACTTGACTCAGTCAAACACATTTGCTCTCCTGCAGATCTTAGATTTTAATTTTTGTACCTGCATGTGTGTGTGTGTGTGTGTGTGTGTGTGTGTGTGTGTTTGTGTCTGATATGAAACTAGAAAGGAGACTGATGAGAAGAAGGACCTAAAGAGTTGGAAAAGGTGCCTGTGGTTTGAGGACAGAGGGGAGATATTAGGAGGAGGTAGCAAGATGGGTAAGAGACTAAGAGGGAAAGGAGAGGAATGGACGAGGAGGAATGTATGAAAATGCCATAATGAAGTCCATTATCTCAGATCTGTGTTCACTTAGACCAAGACTCTATACCTGAGCACACCAACACTGCTCTTCCTCTCCTGTGTGTGCAGCTCTGGCAGCTTAGAAATTATGCACTGTGTGAGGAAGGAACTGACAAATACTGAGCCACTTTATTTCCAGAACTATAAGGAAAATCATTCTATTTAAATTTGAAAAATGTAGCGAAAGATGGAGAAGAATTGTACTGAGGAGAAGATTCTGCGGGGTAAGAGCTTGCTACAGAACCATCAGGACCCGAATGTGAATCCACAGAAGCCTTGCAGAATCCACTGTGGTCACAGACATCTCTAAACCAATTAGTCCTACGATGAGGCCAGAGGCAGAGATAGGGGAATTGCCTTTGAAGCTGGGGTGGAGGTTAATAGCCCATCAGACTTATGTGTGAGATTCCTAAGTCACTGGTCTATTTAGATTATTTGTCATTTCCTAAAAACTCTCCCAACACTTCCAGGTCTACATTACTCTTTAAAATTATGTGTTTTGCATCTCTACCCTGATCTGTAGATGATGGCATTAATCAGTTAAAAGCCATGACCACTGGGATACCTCTGACTCAAGAAGCATTTTCTGAAAGCCCTTCTAGCCCTAGCTTTCAACCCCACTTCCTCCAGAGGTGATGACATCAGATTCAGTCTGAATGCAGCTAGCTGGGGCTTACTAAAACATCTCTCCTTTTGTGAAATGGTTGCACCTATCTATATTCCCTTACTTCATGTGTTTGCCATTTATCTGGGAAAAGTTTCTCGACCCTTGTGTTTTAATTTGCTTTCCAAAATCTGTGGCTGTGTGATACTTGTTTATTAGATTTTGGCAGTTTGCAAACAATGGTTCTAACCTTCAGTGCATTCAGACTGTTTTAATATTTACTGTTTGGAGTGTGTGAAGGTCAGATTCTCCTTGTGAATTTCCATGCCTGGGCTCTGATTCTCACTGCTGCCATCCCCGTTCTCTGCTCAGTGAAGTGTAAGCACAGATTAGGATCCATGCCACATGGAGTACAAGCCCTCTTCCTCCTCGTCCTTCTTCCTTGAGAGTTTGCTTTTGTGTGTCAGGGTCAATGGGAAAGGCCGTTGACTTATCCACTGAGCCACTGGGCTTCAGGTGTCACCCCTGTGTTGCAGCTGGACCTTTGCCTTGTTCTCTCTGCTTCTGTTTCAGAGCCTGCCTGTGAGCAGTGAGGTAGCTTCTTTCCCACCTTCCCCGAGTTCTCTCTGCCTCTCTCTCCTGCCTTGAGCCTTAAGAGAAAATTGCATATTCTGGCCTGAGAGTAGTTCTTAATAAGTAAATGTGCTTTTCACAAGCTCTTTGGGGTTGGAGCAGTGCCAGAAGAGGTTTTCTGTTAAAATTAGCAGTGCTTTTAAATTTGCTAGCGACGCAGAGTCTAAAGAATGCTCCCCCAGTAGCCCATGTGATTTGCACACAAGCCACAGTGCTGGTGCCCTCTGCTCTTGCTTCCTGTAGCTGAGTACCTAGCGGAAAGTAGAAGAAAGTTCTGCATGAGTTCTTTGATCTTGCTGGTGGCTCTTCAGGGTGTATTCGGTAAGGAAGGAAGTTGATTCTGTTACTTCATAGTCAAGCCGAATCCTCCCCCAAACAGTCACCATTCTTTGTGTTACTGTTCAGTTCTTTGCAGGGTTAGAAAAAGCTCAGTCCTTTCTAGAAAGAGCTGCGGTCCCCCAAGCCTACTTCAGGGTGACTTAAATCCAAGGATGTTTGCTGTTGAAGACAATTTTGATAGTCTCATTGTTAGGGAGCAGAAGAGAGGAGGAAGGACGATGATGAGATAGCCAGGAGGAAAGACTCCAATAATGGCGTCAAAAGACCCAGATGAAGAATAAAAGCAAGTATTTATAAGATTATGGATGGAAGATAGGAAAATGGTTAAGGAGGATGGCATTGGATAGGGGCATCCAGGTGGCAACAACAGGATCCAGCATAACACCTTTTAAACTGGACAAGGCAGTCATCAACCTTGAAGACTCAGTTGGCCCCGGGTGTCATTTCCGACAATGTTGAGAAGCCCACTGTTCCAGGAAGAGCCAACTCTGTTTTGAGTGTTGTTTGTTGGGAAAAGGCTGGCAGCAGATGGCTGTGTGAGGGTGTATGTAACCTTTACTAGAAACTGGTAAACTCTCAGTGCTTTCTCAGACGCTTACTCTGTGTGTGTGGTTGCTGTGTCTTGTGTGTCTGTACTTTGTTTTTTTCTCATCCTGTCTTGTGACTGTCTGTCTGGGTTCTGGTGATATTTAGGTGACTCCAGACCTGTGTCTGTCAAACTCTGCACATATTGATGTTCAAACATTGATACGGAGAACACCTGTGGGCCTACAACACAAGACGTTTGATCTTTCTCTTGAGGTTAACCAGATTTGTTCTCTGCACGATCATTTCTAGAGTTCTCCACAGAAACAGAACCAACAATATATGATCCCAAGACAGGGTTTATTAGATTGGCTTGCTCACCACTCATAGCCCCCCCCTCGCTGGCTGATGAGTTGGGGGAAATGAGTAGATGATCAGTCTGAGGAGCTGGAAGTGTCAGTGAGAGAGAGAGGACAGTGATTCTGTAGGACTTGGTACATGAATAATGTTCTTTTCTTCAGCAGCAGTAAGCAGTACCTGAGTGTGGAGTGCCATCAATTACTATTGATGTAAAACTATTGATGTACAACACTATGCCTCAGTGTTGTAGTAAATTGAAAAAAGCTGTTGGGCTATATAATTATTATTATCAGCCCTAGGATTATCACGGCAGCATTATCTAACCCGCTGTTACAAATAATAAGATAAAGACACCTGTTGTAAGTGCCTTATTTACCTTGGGCCGGGCAGATATTCCCGGATGGTAAAATGTCTGAACCATTTTACCATCCATCTCTCAGCCCCTATCGAATGCCATCCTCCTTAACCATTTTCCTATCTTCCATCCATAATCTTATAAATACTTGCTTTTATTCTTTATCTGGGTCTTTTCACGCCATTATTGGAGTCTTTCCTCCTGGCTATCCCATCATCGTCCGTCCTTCCTCCTCTCTTCTGCTCCATCTGTCTTCAAAAGCTCTGGAACCTAGCCACACCTACCCCACTCTGCTCTGCCCAAGAATGAACCAACCAGATATAATGTTTTATTCAGGTTTGCACAAACAAGGATGGATGTATCCAATGGGCAGTAACCAGATCTGGAGTGCCAGTAATTACCATTAGACCAACCTCCAACACCTCTGTAAAACAGAACCCCCAAATCTGTAAACTTTTACCTCACTTGCTTGACAACAAAGCCCTGGTGATCGGTCCAGAATAAGGCTGAATATAATCCTGGCTCAGCCTACCTGGTGTGAGGGGCTGTACCTTCCTGTACAGAAACTGACATGTACAGGGCTGGCGTCTTCACTGAGCCCCTGATTACCTAGGGTCACATTTGCAGTCAGATCCACCTGCCTTTGAAAATTCAAACCTTTACAGTCCTAATAGACCCCTTCCAGGGCTTAGGGAAGGGGGATTTCGGATCCATAGCAAGCAGCCCTGGGAATAAACGGATTAACCCTTTGATCCTGTGTCCTAATTTGACCCATGGGAGTAATATTTGTGCAGGATGTAACAGAGGCAGGAAAGCTTCAGGAGTTCAAAGTCATCCTTGATTACCTAGTGAGTTCCAGGCCAGCCTGGGATAAGACCTTGCCTGAAAAAGAATGGGAGTGGAGGAGGCAAGGGAAAAAGAAAAGCAAAAGAAAAGAGAAAAAGATGGGGGGCGGGACGAAGAGAAATGAGATTTCCTGTTTTTCTCCCTCACTGGTAGAAAATATGTGGAAGAGTTTTGCTCACTAACCCCAAAGGGGCTTTTTGTTGGCTGGCTGCAGGGCAGACAGACATGCTTGCCTTTGACTCCTTTGGTTTGCAGCCAGGCATAGAACCAAGTTGTGGAGCCGAGGCATGTGACTGAACTGATGCCCTCCTGGACGTCCTGAGAATCATGAGCTCACTAGTACTGAGGCTCGCTTCTTAGCCTCACCCAGCACTGTGGGGTTGGGGATGGGATAAATAATTCAGGCATGGGCAATGGAGGCCCTGCGCATTGCAGGGTGTTTAAGAGCATCCTGCCTCTACCCAGTGAATGCCAGAGGCACCTCCTCTCCACGGTCAGGACAATCAAGATTGTTCCCAGATGGTGCTGTCCCCTGGAGGCTCAATGGCCCTAATGGTTTTAAATTCAACCTATTTGAATTTAAAAGGTGCCCAG